CTCTTACTGATTTTAAAAAACAATGACTCCCTGATACTCCACAGACCAAGTGCGAATAACAGGAAAAGAGTGCACTTGAGCTTTTACTTCTGTCCATCTTAACAGGAGTCGTATGTTTTCAACCTTGCATCTTTGCTCCAAGCATAACAGAAATATTACATTCCAATTACGAAAACTTACATGCCTCTGAACAGGGCCAGAGAACAAAGCACCTACTCTACTTGGCCTCCTATCTTTAAAAATTTTCCCAGAAAGTGAGACCCAGAAGGACAAAAGTAAACTAACAAATCGCTTCGCTTGTATCGCTGGTCCCTTTCAAACGGTTTACATGGCGTCGGTCCCGTGAGGGTCATGGTCATCACATTCCTCAACTAGCCTTTTCCACTGGAACGCATTCCTAATGTTTTTCCCCACATTTCATAACCGCATGCCCAGAACTTGACCTTCCTGCAGAACTGGGGGGATTAAACTGTATTTGATTGCATTTCTTATCGGAGTAGCCAGTTATTGCTCATCACGTTTCCCCCTGAAGTTTAGCCTCTTATAACTAAACTAGAGGCTCAGTGCACTGGGTGGGAGGTGGGTCCCTCAGCCCAGCCTACACCCTCTTGCCATCTGGGACCCCTCGGGGAATGTCTGCCTGCTGGCTTAGGCCTGCTCCCCATGGGCCTAAGCCAGCAGTCAGACATTCCTCTCGCAGTCCAGGAGCCCTGACTCCTTACTATCCATCTGCTCACATGCTCGCTGCTCCTTAGCGCTGCCTCAGAGGCGGGAGAAGCTCCTGCCACCACAGCTGCACTCGCCCACCGGCTTCTGGCTGAGCAGCGCTCCCCCTGTGGGTGTGCACTGACCACCACGGGGAAGCTCCTGTGTTGAGCATCTGCACCCTGGTGGTCACAACGTGTCATAGCGACGGGTCGTTCCATCATTTGGTCAATTTGCATATTACCCTTTTATTATATAAGATGACCACTGTCCTCCAGTTTGTGTGTTTAAAAGAAATTAGGCCGCTTTACAACAAAAACGACACTTTCCTTACTAGGTAACCTCATCATTTTTCAGAAAAAGGATTGTGATTCCAAGAAGAAGAAAAAATGCTTTCATTCAGAAAGGCCTCCCTTCCCCTGCCCCCGACCCCGTCAGCAAAGTATGATTCTGGAAAAGTGCACGAAAGACAACAACCACCTCATCGGATGACATGTGTTTGTGGGAGTTCAGCTCTAACGGCCCGGGCCGGCATCACCGAGCAGGCACTCCCGTTTTGCATCGTGTCACTGCGGAATTTTTCACCGTGCCTCCTAAATGCTGACACTGCCTCTCGAAGTGATTAGAACATTTTCTACCCCAGCAGAGGCTAACCACATGGAAGAGATAAGAATAGCTCTCCTTGGGGACGTGGAGGCGTAGCAAACAGGATTCTGCCCCCTGACACTGCGAATATCATTTCCCCAGGGACGTGTCTGGGAAAAGGCTGGTAGGCAACAATGTACACACTCCCAGGTCTGGACCCAACCGAAGTGTCTCCATATGTTTACGCAGAGTCACAAGGTAGGATGTCCATTGCCCATGTCAGTCCTTGGTGAGGAAGGAGAGTGGACCCCAGGCGTCCACGCCATGCACTGCCCTACGTCCAGCCTATGAACGCACACAGACGGTGACGGGCACGGGGACGTGGGCTGCATAATCTAATAGGGACAGAGTCCCTCTGGGGTGTCCTCCAGCACAGAGCGACCCTGCACAGCAACAAGGGAGTAGGCGGAGCACCTGCTCTGAACCCGGCCGTCTTCACCAACAGCCCGTGCGGTTGCATTGTTATCCCCATTTTACAGACAAGATCACAGAGGCTCACACCAAGACACCTCATGATTAAAATGACAAAGGTTAAAGACAAAGAATTTAAAAGCAGCAAGAGAAAGACAGTTATCTCCAGGGGAGTTCCCACGAGACGATCAGCTGATTTCTCAATTGAAACATTTCAGGCCCGAAGGGATTCCAATCAAATAACATAGGGGAATTGAATGGGTAAGAACACAGGACCCATATATGTGCTGTCTACAAGAGACCCACCTCAGGAGGACAGACACACGCAGGCTAAAAGCGAAGGGATAGAAAAGGCTACTTCATACAGAGGGAACGTTTTTAAAAAGCTGGGTAGTAATCCTTGTATCAGACAAAATAGATTTTACAACAAAGGCTATCAGCCGAGAAAACGGACATTGGATTTCCACTGGGGTGCAGGAAGGGGGCGGGAAGTTCCATTTCTGTACCTCTGCGGAGGAGTATTTCAAGGAACAACCCCACCCCCACCCCACCCCCAACGTGGCCCAATGCTCAGTTTAGGGGGCAGCTCCTGGCAGGAGCAAACCTCGGGGCCTCTGCAAGCCCGCCCCCCCCCCACCCTGTGGGGAATAGAGAGCGCCCTGGGGTGGGTTTCCTAGCAAGCTGCTCCCTGCCTTGGGGTTGGGTGGGAGAGGTGGGGAGAACTAGGTAATTCGAACACTGTGGTAATGCCTGCTTTGTGGTCTGTGATCAGTGGCTCTACAGCACCACCCCTGAGCTAAATATCAATATTCTTATTAAATTAATTAGGGCGCAAGAGAAGGGGCTTTACATTTTCTTCTGGGGAGGTGGGGTGGGGGTGTAGAAGAGAGTATAGGGGGGATAGATGGTGATGGAAGGAGACTTGACTTGGGGGATGAACATACAATATACAGATGGTGTATTATACATCGTACACCTAAAACCTACATAATCTTATTAACCAAAGTCACCCCAATCAATTCAATTTAAAAAAAAAAAGAGAGACACTAACATGAAAACAATCTCCTTGAATCTGTTACGTTGCCTGGACGGTGCTGGAGTGGGCCATCGTTACGCCCCTCGTCCCAGATTTCCTGTATTTGTTTGTTTGTTTGTTTAAATATATTTTGATAGAGTTCAGAGAAGAAGGGAGAGGGAGACAGAAACATCAACAATGAGAGAGAATCATCGACCGGCTGCCTCCTGCACAACCTGCCATCGGAAATCGAGCCCGCAACCCAGGCATGTGCCCTGACCAGGATTGGAACCGTGACCTCCTGGTTCATAGGTGGAAGCTCAACCACTGAGCCACACTGGCCGGGCTGATTTCCTGTGTCCTTCTCACATTCTCCCTCGGCACGGGGTTCCGCTTGCGGCCTGAAGACTAGGGGAGAGAACCACACTGCACACCCTTCACATCAGCTGAGGTGGCAGGACCCTGCAATGGTAAAAAGACCTCGGCAAGTGAGGCCAGCCCTACCTCCCGCGGCCTCGAGCTCCAGCGCTGAACGTCCCTGCTTCTTCCCGAGGCCGTGATCAGAGGTCGAGGCGGCGGCTCCCACGTGGACAGGGGCAAGGCTGGGCTCATCCTGAGAAAGAGAAAGTGGTCACTAATCCCAGAGGGACATGGCAGCGGAGCTCCCGTCTCCCTGTGCTGACGCCAGGCAAGGAGGGTGGCTTGCCAGGCTCACCTCGGACGCTGAAGAAGTGGACCCTTCTAGATGGTTCCTTCTGATTTCAGCCCCCTTGACAACACTGTGCAAAATGTGTCTGATTCACTTCCACAGTGCGGGCTGCACAAATCTTGGTGGATGCCTGGCCGTGCCAGGGATGGTGCCCTGGGGTCAGGGCAGCCACCAGGACAGACAAGCTTCAGAGGGTTGTAGTGCCACCCGCCTGCCCAGGGAACTGCGTCCACCTGCTCCTGTTGCCGGGGGCAACTCTGTTCTCTGCCTTCCACCCCCTCCCACATGCTCCCCGCAGGGCCTGAGCCCCACCCAGCCTTCAGCTATCAGGAGGGCTAGCGCTGGCCCTGCTCCATCTTCTCAAAGGGAGGATTGCCCGGCCCTGGCCGGTGTGGGACAGTGGATAGAGCGTCAGCCTGTGAACCGATAGGTCCCGGGTTTGATTCCAGTCAAGGGCACATGCCCGGATTGCTGCCTTGATCCCCAATAGGGGGTGTGCAGGAGGCAGCCGATCCATGATTCTCTCTCATCATGGATGTTTCTATCTCTCTCCCTCTCCCTTCCTCTCTGAAGTCAATAAAAATAAAAGGTGGGATTTTCTGGCAGGGACAGAGTCTCTCGAGAAATGGAAGGAGCTGTTGCAAGTTCTTTTCTGAATTCCTTGAAACAGGAGGGACTCTCCCCAGCTGCCCCTCGCCTTCTGTAATCCCAGCTGACACAGGCCAGGCACTGTTGGCGTGGGGTTGAAGGATGAAGGCCGTGGCCCCTCTGCAGGGGGAGAGGGGGTGTGAGGAGTGGGGGAGGGCCCATGCTGACACACCACCAGCCACATCCCATCTCCGGCTGGGATGGCAGAGGCCTGCTCTCTGGGGCGGCTGAGACTCATGGCATGAAGGGAAAGAAGCCTTGAGCCCCTTCAGAACTTCTCAGCCGAAAGGGGGAGATGGTGGTGGGCGCGCAGGGTACGGGGCCCAGCACAAATGCTCGGCCGAGTGGATTCTGAGATGTACGCCCGCGGCCCGAGAGATGGGGTGGCGATCAACACGTGAGTGCCACAGGCTGTGGTTCAGAGGCGGGCACTGGGCAGGGAGGGGCTGGGTGGGAGTGGCACGGGGACTTGGTGACGGGCGGGTGAGAGGGGAGAATCGGAGGGTTCCGGGGACTGAGTATGGGATCTAGGAGGTCAGCAGGGTCACGGTCGGAAACAGGGCCCTGGATTGGGTGCAGGAAGTCCCATTTCTGTACCCCTGTTCCCGGAATAGCCCCAGTGGCCCCATGCTCAGACTAGAGGGGCAGCTCTTGGCAGGAGCAAACGTTGGGGCCTCAGCAAGCCCCCTCCCCCGCCCCCCTCCTTCCCAGGGTCCTGTGGGGAATGAGGGCACCTAGGCTGGGTCTCCTAGCAGGTCCCCCCCTGCGTGGGCTTGGGTGGGAGGTCAGGCGGATGGCGTCTCCGCCAGGGCTCCAGGTCGGTGGTCTCGGGGGGCTGACTGACTTCCCCCACTTCCCCCTCTGCAGGCGCCATGTGGCTGGAAATTCTCCTCGCCTCTGCTCTGGGCCTCGTCATCTACTGGTTCTTCTCCGGGGACAAGGAGGACACGCTGCCACTTGGAGATGGGTGGTGGGGGCCCGGGGCCAGGCCCACAGCCCCGGAGGATGAGAGCATCCGCCCTTTCAAGGTGGAAACGTCGGACGAGGAGCTCAACGTAAGGCCCCTCTCCCTGGGCAGGGCTGAGCAGAGGGAGGCAGGAAGCCCCCCCACATTTGCCCGAGACTGGGGAGGGGAAAGGGCCGCTCCTCAGGGTGCCCAGGTGGGAGAGGGGGTGCCCGCGGGACCCAGTTTCCTGTCTCACCTCCTTTGCGGCCCATCTGGAACCTGGGGAGGAGCTTATAGGAGAAAGCGAGCGGGGTGTCCGTCGTCAGGCCCTGGGCAGAGAGCAGGCCATGGGGCCAGCGCTGATAAAGCACCTACTGTGTGCCAGCCACTCACGGTCCCGTCCAGTCCCTGCAGTCCTCCTGCCGGGTGAGGTCTTTGTCCTCAGCTGCAGAAACTGAAGCTCAGGGCGGGAAAGCAGCTCCTCCCAGGTGAGGGAGATGGCGGGCAGGATTCGGCCCGGGGTCTGCCCGGCTGTAAGGCCTCGTCCTCCTCCGCACGGGGCCGGAGGCAGGAAGAACGTGCCCGGGGGGTGGCCTGACCCGGAGGCTGGCTCCAGCAGCCCCACGAGGGTGGGTGGGGCCTGGGATGTCCCCTTTTTGCTTTTCTTCTGTGGGATGGGAGCACCTACTGTGTGCAGGCGCTATGCTGGGTGCTCGGAAGGCAAGCAGAGTCTTCCCTCACCCAGCTCAGCGTTCAGTCGTTGAGGAAAGAAATGCGCAGAGAGAAAAGTTAAAAGGTTAAAAGGGATGAATGGCGTCAGATGTGCCAAGGAAAACGTCGCGAGAATTCTGAGAAAGGAGGGGCTGTTGAAAAGAGGAAACTGGCCGCCTCCAGAAGGCAGGTGCGGCTCCTTGCAGCACCTGATGAGGCCTCGCTGTGTAGGACGGAGGCCGAGCCCCGGGGAGAGCTCCCTTAGAGCGTTCTTAGGCTCAGAGCCTAACTTTCCAAACCTGTTTAGGGGTGACCCCAATGCTGGGGGGGGATGACACTCCAGGAAGACTCCATCAGCTAAACTAACTTCCCCAGCCGGGGCTGCTGTCTTGGTCCGATGTACGCCCATCGGACTTGAGCCCTCTTTTATCCCAGCTCAGGTATAATATGTTAATTATTAGGTGCTGTACATCCCAGTGGGCGAACCACAGCTCATGGGACACCCCTCCTGATGGGCAACCTGATTTTATACAGCCCCCATGCTAAGAAGAGTTAAAGCATTTTTTTTAAAGATGCTTTTTCTCATTTTATTTTTTAAAGTATATTTTTATTGATTTCAAAGAGGAAGGGAGAGGGAGAGAGAGATGGAAACATCAATGATGAGAGAGAATCATGGATCGGCTGCCTCCTGCACGCCCCACACTGGGGATGGAGCCTGCAACCGGGGCATGTGTCCTGACCGGGAATCGAACCATGACCTCCTGGTTCATAGGTGGATGCTCAATCACTGAGCCACACTAGCCAGGCTGTGTTTATATCTTTAAACGGTTGAAAAAAATCAAAAGAGGAAGAATGTTTCGTGACGTGGAAATGATATGACATTCAGGTTCAGGTCCACACATACAGTTTTGCTGGGACACGGCCACACTCACTCCTCCACGGACCGTCGTCCACGGTGCTTGGAGGACAGAGCGGAGGAGTGGCCAGTCAAAAGCTTAAAATACCGGCTACCTGGCCCTCTACCCAACAGGTTGGCCAGCTCCTGCACATAGAAGCCCAGATCGACTAAAGATGGGTATTGTTCATACATTTAAACCAGTGGTTCTCAACTTTCTGGCCCTTTAAATACAGTTCCTCACGTGGTGACCCAACCATACAATTATTTTCGTTGCTACTTCATCACTGTCATGTTGCTCCTGTGATGAATCGTCATGTAAATATCTGATAGGCAGGAGGTGCCTAGGCGGCCCCTGTGAAAGGGTCGTTCCACTGCCAAAGGGGTCGCGACCCACGGGTTGAGAACCGCTGATTTAAACACTGAAAGACGAGACATAAACCAGAAGGCCAAAGCAAGGAACACGGGCCATCGCCGGTGTGGCTCCGTGGCTGAGTGTCAACCCACGAACCAAGAGGTCACCGGTTCAGTTCCTGGTCAGGACACAGCTCTCTATCCCTCTCGCTCTCGCTCTAAAAAAAATCAATAAAAACATATATATTTTAGCCATAGCTGGTTTGGCTCAGTGGATAGAGCGTTGGCCTGTGGACTCGAAGGTCCCGGGTTCGATTCCTGGTCAAGGGCGCATGCCTGGGTTGCAGGCTCGATCCCCAGTGAGGGGCCTGCAGGAGGCAGCCGATCCATGATTCTCTCTCATCATGGATGTTTCTCTCTCTCTCCCTCTCTCTTCCTCTCTGAAATCAATAAAAACATATTTAAAAGACAAAAAACCATATATTTTAAGAAGTAAAGAGCATGAGCTTTAGGAACAGCCCCTGTGATGGGAAACGCAGAGGTTTCTTCTGGGTTAAACCCGATGCCCAGAGCGCAAGACCAGGCCGGGGGCCTCCGCACCCTCTGGCTTGCGGCCGCGGGAGCGTAGGGTTTGCTCTGTCCTCCGGAAACGTACCTCCTCTGTGCTCTGCCCCCCGACCCCTCTCTCCTCGGGGCCCTGCGCGCTGCTCCAGGATTTGTACCGAAGGATCGAGAAGGTCCGCTTAACCCCGCCGCTGGAGAACAGCCGCTTCCACTACGGCTTCAACTCCAGCTACCTGAGGAAGGTCCTCTCCTACTGGCGGGACGGGTTCGACTGGAGGAAGCAGGTGGCCATTCTCAACAAATACCCTCACTTCAAGACGAAGATCGAAGGTATGTTTCCAAAAAAAACGCTGGAGGGTGGGGGGCAAAATTTATCACCTTTGACCAAAAAACTAATTCCATAGACAGAAAAAAGATTTAATAAAACACATTCAGAAGAATATTCTCATCAAGTACAACGACCATAAAGAGGAAAGCAATTTTAAATATTTATGGAGTTTATAAATACCTTTCACTATTTGTACGAGGACACAAATGATGTTCTGATTTATTTACTTATATATTTATTCATTTATTTAACAGATACACACTGGCCATACGGGCACGGCCTTCGCAGATGCTGGCCGTGACTCAGACGAAGCTGGGGAGACCCAGGACCCAGGGGTTGGTCATTGAGATGCTATTTAAAAGTTATCCCAAGATGCAGACAGAACGCAAAATCCCAGCAGAGGCAACAGTGGGAGCCCAGGTTCCCACGCTGTCCGCCCAGCCTGGGGCTGGTCCAAGGCCGCCCTCCTCCCCCTCTGGATGCTGCTGTCCTCCTCCCTCGCGCTCCGACCTCCTCCAGGTCCTCCCGGCCCTGCACTGACCCCTGCGCTCCAGGCTGCTCAAGGCGCAACCCCCACCCCCGTGTTCTGTCCCCCTCCCCACCCACCTCACCGTTTCATCCTCCCTGGTCTGTGGTGAGCCTCTGGCTCTCACCCCCAGCATGGCCTCCCACCCCCGACCAGCCTCTACCGAGGCCTCCAGGGCTGCTCAGCCCACCGCCCCAGAGCAATGGACCCAGTCGAAGGGAGGTGGAGGTTCGAGGCCGGACGCAGCTGCTCAGCCGGTCCCAGCTCAGGCCCAAAGCCATGACCTCACCCCACCCCCTCCCCCCACCCACCAGGCCCAGCGCTGCGTCTGAGCCCAACTTGGCTCCTCACCCAGCAGCCTGGGCCTGGAGCAGCCTGCGGGCACCACCGGCCGATAGAGAAACCAGGAGAACGTGTCCTCCTCACAGGAGGAAATTTTGAAAATTCAAATAGTTAAAATTCAAAAAAAAGTACAGAAGGATACGCAGGAAAAGCAATCTCCCCGGTCCCCCTCTCCCCCATTCCCCCAGATATCTGCTCCCAGGGAGAGCCGGTGGACACCCAAGCATGTATGTCTGTATGGGTTTTGTGCTTTTTTTTTCTAATTTTATACCCAAATGACAATGCGATCAAACTTGAATTAAAAATAATCTCGCTTCCTGCACTGTGCCTCAGAGGAGGCAAGATTCCCAACTAAGCCCTGACCGGTTTGGCTCAGTGGATAGAGTGTCGGCCTGCGGACTGAAGGGTCCCGGGTTCAATTCCAGTCAAGGGCATGTGCCTGGGTTGCGGGCATTTCCCCAGTGGGGGATGTGCAGGAGGCAGCTGATCAGTGTTTCTCTCTCCAAAAAATCAATTAAATATATATATATTTTTAAAAACTCATACATACTCAGTAGACATAGGTGCAGACATAGGACTGTTTACGAAAACTGGGCCAGACAGACGTCCCCCACAAAGCAGCATCTCATGAGCCGTGTCCTGTGGGATAAATGCACGTCTACACTGTCCTTTTAAACAGCTATTGCACTCC